TAACCCCCCCCCCCCCGCCACCCAGCACTTACACACATAGCAACGAACACAGCAAGACACATACATACAGACTTACATACTCATGTGGAGAGGAAATTAAAAAGATGGATTATGTAATATAAAAGAGTTATTCATATGGCCATACGCTGATTAGCAGAAATTTTGCATTTCAAGCAAAACCACCTTCACCTGCTGCTTGTGCTTCTTGTGATCATAAAGGCCAAAGGAGGAATCTGTTGCCATAATCTGCCATTTCTGGCTCTAGTGGGAATTGAGAAGAGAATGAGGAGGCTGCACAAACCTTGGCTTCGTGTCTTGGCTATAAACGCTATGTGTGTACTGCTGGGGAGAACCCTGGAGAGATGGAACCAAGTGTAGGAAATGCGGTGACTTGAATGAAGAGAGACAAAGAAAGTGCTGAACTACTTTTTCTAGGAATACACATTTGCTCCAAGTTACTTATGCAGTTCTCTGTTTAATCAGAAAGACAGGGGAGAACCTAACCCTGGAGCTGGGGAAACTTGAGTGTCACAGACCTGACTTCTGTTCTCTCTCCTGGACTCCCTGGTTCATTTCAGTTATTATGAAACTTTGAACACGTCAGTTAACTTCTTTGGGGCTCTGTTACCTACTATAAATTGAGAAGATTGGACTAATAGTTTCTGTGGGCCTTTCTAGCTGTGACAATTTGATGCTCCTGGTTGCAAACGCTTTAAAATTGAACATTTGAATAGTTTTCTTTTAAAGAAACCCCTTCCTGCATCTGAAAACATCACATCCACAGAGCTATCTCTGTTTTACTTCTAAACATAATTTCTGTGCTTCAGGTCATAGTGACAATATCCTTAGCTTGATTGCTTGAGCTTCTTAAATGTCTGGAGATTATCATGGGCAGTTTGACTGTCCCTACTATAAGTTATGTTTTTTACATGTCGAAAAATTGGTATAGCCTGGTGCAGTTATTAAAAAGGTAGTCTAACTTTAGTATGAAGAGTGTTTATCACTTTAAGAATCATTAAAAACCGTTTAGGTTGATATGCTTTATATTTTTCATTTAGTAATTTCATAAGATGACTTTTGAGAACATAAATTTTCTTCTATGCAGAAAGTTGCCCCTGAGAGTGCTTATAACATACACATTTAGCTTTAGTTTTTATACTGGCATTCATGTGGCTTCTTATTAGGAACTGTTTCTCCTGCCCTATATCTGTGGTCCGACTCACTACTTTTTCTGAAGGACAAGCAAACTGAGCGAGTTCCAGAGGGCAGCTCTCTGTTTCATAAGGGATCATTCTACTTCTACATAACTTTTCCAGCTACATGTAGTTCAGTGACAAGGACAACTTTCTGGATGCCTTTCAGGAGACTTGACCAATGTTTGACTATCTGTTTTAACCGAGTAAATTATAAACCACGTGTGGAGGCTCAGCTGATGAAGTGACGCAATCCGACTCACCTTCTGAGATTTTTTTCTCTGTCCTTGGCGTCAAAGAGATTTGAAGGTGTATACTGCTTGTCGCTAGATAGGCAGAGGAATAGTGCATTTCATTCATGCTTATTATTTTCTTCCTTTTTAAAAATCATTGTTATATGGATATTATCAGAATAGATTCTGAATAACAGAATAGTAAAATTGCATTCTGTCCACAGACATCTCTGTCTGTGAGCAAGAGTTGCAGGATATTTCATCAGAAACTGAAATCAAGGACCAATTTCACATCCTGTGTAGGTCCTTTTATAGAGCTGATTTAATTTTAACTTCGATTTATAAGTTTTAAGCCAAACTGTTTTTGTCGTATTTGTACCTCTGAAGGAGATTAAATGGTGCCTTTTGGTTTTATAGCAATTTGGTAATTTATTAAGTGCTTTTCATACTAGTTTCCCTTTTGATCATATAGATAATGGTTTTTCTCTCAACTGATAAAAGGATACCTGTATTTTCTTTTTTATTGAAAATAGAAGAGCCTGGAATAGGCTGTTTCCAAGGTGAGGAAGTTGTTATCATCGCAGGAGGAGCTTTTACCTTGCTGGCATCCTTGGTGTTGAGGATGAAATCAGTGAGAGGAAGGTAGTGAGGCGTACGTAGACTTACTTTCACATCTCCATGTGCTGAGGTTGTGCTATACTGTGATGCCTCTTTTTAGATATCTGCTTTCAAGGCAGGCAGGTGCTTATGGGAAAGATGTGGCAGGGAGATCTTCCTCCCTCTTCAGTCAATGTGCCATCTTTTGGATGTTGCCTAGAAAACCTCACTTTCTTTCCACTACTAGTTTTGTGCCTAGATTCCACATGAATATTAGATTAATGTTGTTGTTCACTGTGTAGTTCTATATAACTGACCACTTATTCGTTGATTTATTCATTTAACTAAAAATTGAGCAACTGCTGTGTACCAGACTTCAAAAGTATTTTCATTTAAATGGTTGTATTTGATTTTACAGCAATGGTGTGCAGTACATGATATTATCTGTACTTTATAGATGAAAAAACAGAGTCTCAAAGAGGTTACAACTTAATCTAAGATGATTTTTTAAAGAGGAAGCAGTAATGAAATAGATAAACAGGTAGAAAAATGTTTAAAGTTGCTCTGGTAATTAAAGAAATGTATATTAAAACCTTCAAAGTACCATTTTTCACCTATTTTTAAAAATTGTAATAGCTGGTACTGAAAAAAATGTGGTAAAACTAGTACTTTAATATTCCTGGTATCATTTAAATTGGTCTGAAGAAACATAGTATATTTTGTTTAGAGATACATAATTTTTGCCAGATTGCCTCCTCTTAGGGATTAATTCAAAATATGGTTTAAAATATAAAGACATACACATGTCTGTATTGATAGTAGTGTTATATTCATAATAGAATATTGGAAGCCACTTGAGTGTCCAACAGTACCACGTGGAATGATTAAATAATTTTGTACCACCTTCTTGATAGAAAATTTTGCATCCATTAAGAATAATAAATGTGAAGAATATATGTACTAACACAGGAGAATGTGTATAATGGAAGTGAAAAATTCAGGTTGTAAAATTGTATGCATAATCTTACTATATGAAGAAGGATTGGGAGAGAATATCTGGAATGATAATTGGATTAGCACTGAAAAATGATGGTGATTTTTTTCCTTTTATCTTCTTTATTTACAAAATATTTGCTATGGTTAGTATATTATTTTTTTTTTTTTTTTTTTTTAACAATACACATTTGTTATCTCTCCGGATAACAAATTTATTATCTCTATGGGTCAGGAATCTGGACATGTCTCATGTATGAATGGTAATCCAGGGAGCCTCTGCTTAGGGTCTTACAAGACTACAATCAGGTTGTCAGCTGTGCTGTGTTCTCATCAGCAGGCTTGAGTGGGAGAAGAATCTGCTCCCAAGCTCATTCAGGTTGTTGGCAGAATTCAGCTGAGGGCTCCACATTTTTTGGTCCTAGAGGCTGCCCACAGTTCTCTGCCACGTGGACCTCTACATACACTGTTCACAACATGGCTGTTTGTTTTTTCAAGGCCAGTTGAAGTGCCTCTTTCCAGTTACAGAGTCTGGTATGTTACATTTTTAATTAAAAGCCTTTTAAAAACATCCTTCCTCAGTGTCACACAACAAAGCAGGATTTGAACCTAATACTTCCCATCACATTACAATGATCCTTGTTAATTTGTGGTTCTGATATCAGATGGGCTCTCAGACAACCACTCCACGTAGTAATGATATAACATTTATGGAAGGATTACTATGTACACTGTTCAAATTTTTGAGATTTATTTACTCAAGTAATCCTCACTGTGGTCATTTTGTAGCTGTTCTTATTATTCCCATTTTACAGATGAGGAAATTGAGGCACAGAGGCTAAGAAACTTGGGCAAGTTCACAACAGTAAATGGTCGAACCAAGATTTTCACCTAATTAATATGAATTCAGATACCACCCTCTTAACCACTAGGCTTTACTGCCTTTCTAGGTAATGGGTTGGGGTAGAAAGTGTTCTGGCCTAAGTATGTAAAGACCTGGGTTTGGGTTCCTGCTTTAGTCCGCAAATAAACTTGAACAACTCTCATTTCCTGTATGGTCATGTGCCACGTAATGATGTTTCCATCAGTGATGGACCACATAGAGGATGGTGGTTGGAGCCATATGCTATACTGTATAGGCTGATAGGTAGTAGACTATACTATCGAGGTTTGTGTAAGTACATTCTATGGTGTTCAAACAAAGACAGAA